GAATAATCAGTCTTCAAAAAAGTGTTTACGCAACCGGTGTTGCACTATCAGCGTTGTAATTAGTAATAATTAAGCTACGGGTCTAATTCGCATAATGGCTGATAAAACTCGGTTATATGAAATCCACCACATTTATCCACAACTGGATTAGCTGGCGATTATGTATCTCTAAGCAAAAAAGTAGGATAACTGAATAATACCGGGATATTTCCATGCGTCATAACTGAACATGGTATTTCACTAAGACTCCAAACGTGATTATCACGTTTCCTTCCTCAACTTTCCTGTTCTCAAAGATTTAGAAGATGTGCCTCCTGCGACCAACCCCGAAAATGCTCCCACTATTTACCTCTTTTAAACTTAAAAAGGTCAAAACTCCTACTAGAAGACAAAAAAAACACGTAAACGATGGCATTACATCCAGCATTTTTTTTTTTTTTTTGCACAATAACAGAGGAGGAAAGCCGATACCAGGGTCACTAGCGAACATAGGCGATTCCAGGATGGTCTCCCGGGGGATGATTTTCTACCTTCCCTTCACCCTTCGCCACTGCCCCCCTCCCCGGATCCATCAGTGCTAGCAAACTGACCATTGATTAATGCAGCTGTGGTCACAGCAACCGCAATAAGCACCAGATTCACCCGAGGTACCAAACTGTACTACGATCTGGAAAAAAAACTGGAGCAAAGAATACTCCCCTTGTGTTCCCAAGAGGCACTAAAAGCTCCGTTTTGAAAAAAAAAAAGCTGAAAATTACAATGAATTTCAGTCACCAAAACCACCTGTCCCAAAACTAGCACAGATTGTCCCATGTTTGAAAACATACCGGCAGATAATCGTACTTGCCAGCCACTTTAACAAAACTGGCTCGCTCCCCCCAATCATTCATTGTTTTGGCCACAAATTTATTACAGAACAAGCTTTTTGCTCCAGGCAAATTTGCACCGCATGGAACGAGACTTGTCTGCCCCTGAAAACACAAACTAACAGCTGGTAAAATAAAATTTATGAAAAAATTTTACAACAGAGAATGACAAAGTTTTAAAAAGTGAATTTATACGTAATTTGGCCCGCCAATGAATGAACGTAGCATGACAAAAAACTGATCAAACAATAAGCTTTTGCTCTTGCAAATGCTCACCTTATAACCAACACGTCCCCATCGGAACCATACCCAGTAACGCTCTTCGGTATCGCTTTCCAAAAGCTGGATAATGTAGTATTTATTTCTGTTTTCTTGCGTGCTGGTCTGAAAAAAGATTTTCAAAACGAGGGCTGAAAAGGCTGAAAAAGGGTTTTAAAATGCGGATGTCTACAATTACCCGCACCAGCTTACAGCTCACCTATGAAATAATGTTTCAGACTTCGGAAGGATCATGCTGGACTTTGCTAAACGACAATTCCGATTCCGCTCAATTAAACTATTAGGCCACGCTTGTGGCCCAGAGCTGCTTTATGCATTTTTTGCACCTATGCAGTGCAAAAAACGCATATTGACG